TTTTTTTTTTTTTTTTTTTTTGTACTATCTTTATGCTTGACTGCTGTTCCTGCTTTGTTGTTTTTTCTGCCTCTTCTGGTCCCAAATATAAACATCAAAAAACGAAGTAATCTGCTTTTTGAGCTTATATTGCATTTACCGAATGTAAATTCACTGCACTGGTGAATGAATTAACTAGTGGGTGAACACAGAGATTGCTAGTTGCTTGTTACAACTTATGCTGAATATAAGTGAAATATACACAGTTTTTGAGCATTGTTTTTTTACAGATTTAGTGTGCTTAGAAAGGAAAAATGAACAAAAGCTGTACAACCTGTTTTTAAACTGATGTCTGCTTGTGACTGAAAAAAAGCCTTGAACTGAAAAAAAATAATCGTTTTTTTGATCCGGTTTTAAACCCTATCCTCGATTGTCTTAAAACTTAATTAATTTTTAGTGTTACTCTCACAAATAGAACATTAAAATTTGAAATAAACTTGAATGGTAGTAATGAATAATGAGAATTATATTATAAAATGAAGAGGAATTCAAGAGTTGTTTTCTACTTAGCAAATAACATAACAAATTTCTTTTTTAGGCCTAATTTCAAAATATTTTTTATAAAGTCCATTTGATCCGCGTAATCGTTACAAATCTCACTATTTTACAAAAACAATTTCTCGCGACATCAAGTTACTAATCCGTTATTGTAGTTAAAATAAGCATTATAAACGCACAATGATTTTTATAGTGCATTTCTATAAAAATTATAACATGTTTGCACTCACCGCAATAGAAAAGTTGCTAACTGAAAATGGCAGTTCATAATGACAAACTGCGCTGTACCGGCAGCTATGGCGCCTCTCAATAGTACTAAAAAACAAGCTAAACTAAAAGAAGCGTACTCAAACATGGCTAATGAATGAACTTAGCAAAAAATTATATCATTATTTGCAAAAACTGTACTTCCAAAAATTTGAGAAGCACGGTTCCTTATAGCTGCAATAGTAAGTAATATTTTATCAAAGAAGCTTCAAACAACAACGTCCAAGAGGAACTTTGGGTTTTATAATGTACACCATTTTGAAATACGAAGCACCTGTGTTTTGAGAAATGTGATTCTAATAAATGCAATGGTTCTTACTGTTTAGCTTACCGTTACAGCTCAAAATTGTAGAATAGGACTACATGGTCAGTTCG